ATTGCAACATTCAGTAAATTTTATGTCTTACAAAACAAGAAAAATGACTGTTAGCCTAGCTCGGTACAAAACCTGGAAGTGGAAACTAGCTTGTAGCCCGACAGGTGAGTGGTTAGCAAAGAAAACGCTGCATGCTAGGAGGTCTCTCTGAGATGCTAGCATCGTCAGCATAGAAGGCGGAGGAATCGGGTGTTGGCGCCCCCTGCTGTCCGCATGAATGAAAACTTCATTCTGTCTTCCTCAGCATGTTGATGATCTTTTGGAACTTGAGTCTGGTGGCGATGTCCAGCGGGGTTTCTCCGTTCTGTAAAAGCAGACACACGTGTTATCGGGTCACGGAAAGCGTCTTGTCACTGCGTGCTGCGCGTCTGTACGCACGTTATTCTTGATGTTGGGTTTGGCGTTTCGTTGCAGCAGCAGAGGAACCAGGCGATGACTTTTTCTCTCACAGATGTAATGAAGAGCCGTGTTCCCCTTCTGCACACAAAACACCTTTTTACTGTCAGGAAGTGGCCTGAGATTTTCAAATTAAACCGCGTTAAGCTCCTGTTCACGCACGTAGTCGACAGCGTCGACGCTGACGTCAGTGCTCAGCACGGCCTCCATCAGAGCCACGTTCTTCCTCTGTTTCTGCAGCTGCAACACAGAAACACCGGTGAGCAGATCAGACTGTGCTTTACCTGTATGATGTCACACTGAGAGAGACTGCTGATTGGCCGTACCATGATGAAGTATCCGAGCAGCAGGATGGGCATCAGGATGGTGATCATCAGATAATCCAGCAGTGAGAACGTCCTCTTGGAGACATAGTGGAGACACGTCCTCTGTTTCTGATGTGTGACACACACACACACAGATCAGTAACACAGCTCGCTAACCAACATGATGACATCATCAGGGAAAGGCACCTTATTGGTCAGCTGGCTGTTGGCCTTGTTGTCCAGCAGGTATGTGACCGCATTCAGGTGACCGTGGCGGCAGGCAGCAATGAGGGGTGTGTCCCCGGTGTGCACCTCCTGAACATTCAGGTGGGCGGGGTCATTTTTCAGGAGGAAGTACAACTTACGGACGTCGCCCTCGTACGCCGCCTGGCAGGCCGGCTGAGGAGGGAGAGGAGGAATTACATGAGTTAAGCTCCTTATCAGCTGATCAGGAACAGCCCGGTCCGTCCAGTTTTCCGCTCCTATCTCACTCACTCAAGCTCCTCCCCTTTTAAGACCGCTTTCTTCTGATTGGCTGATTCTCAACATGTAAAAAATGAGATCCCACCAGTTTCTCATTATTATTATTATTATTATTTCAATAAAACGATTGTGTAACATTTGCTATCTTGATCTTGATTTCTTCTCATTTTCCTGTTTTTGGTAGTTTTCTGAATATTTGCAGTCATTTTCTCGCAGTGTGTTGCAGTACTTGTGTTGCTGTGATATCCTTGCAGTACTGCAGTCATTTTCGTGTCTGTCTTCATATTTGTTGTCGGAGTGACGCCAGGTCATTAAACTTCTACCTGTCTGTTTGTTTCAAGTGAAGCTTTACCTGAAACTCAGGTGTGTGTGCACGAGAAATCAGTCCGAACCGGAAGAGCGCGCATGAGCCTTTCGGAGTAAAGAGTTAAAACGAGGATTAAACGTGTTTGTTTAGCAGAGAAAAGAGGGAAACAAAGCGCGCTCTTACCTCCGAGTAAACCATCCCCATGACGGCACGAACACACCTGAGCACGTCATGGTCCGACACGTCAGCAATAACACATCCGGATCCATTTTCAGAATAAGAGTCTCTTGCTGTTTCACTTCATTCAGTTTATTACTAAACACACCAGAAAACGTAGCTGAGTCTGGACGGCTTCCCGTTTCCACGTGACACTCGGAGGGCGCGCACGTGATCTCATGTGGTCTTTTCTTCCCAACAGAAGAACTTTTGCTTCATTGTCAGACCCGGTGCTTTTATTTTGTAGGCTGCAAAGAGAACTTTGTGTACTTTACCTGCTGATGTTGAGACATCAGAAAGAGCCCGAGGCACAAAGGAGGAGGAGCAGGAGGAGGAGCCGAAGGAGCAGGAGGAGGAGCCGGAGGAGGAGCAGGAGGAGCCGGAAGAACAGACAGGCAGGTAAACTCAGAGCATCACCAGGCGGTTTGAATGTTTTCATATGAAATCAAACTTGAAAACATCAGCAGTGATTATCAGAGTCCAGAAGAGGGCGATAAACATCCGCACACACCTGATCACAGGTGCTCTCGGACCCTCGCTCTGCACCGCTCCACTTCCGGTGAGACCCGCTGTGATAAAGGCAACATGTCGAGCTTTAAAGCAGCTCTGCTCAGAAACATTTGAAACGGTGTCCTTTATTCTGAAAGAGTCTCACCTGCTGTGCTGAAGGTGTTTCGGATGGTTTCTGTTGCTGAGGCCCCGGATGTTCTGTGGTGGATGTCTGTCACAACCAATCTGTTCGCGTCATTATTATTGGTGACATCATTTGATTATGTTTGCCGGATCTCTGTCTGAGTGAGACCTCCCGCTGTTCTTCTGCTCTCTGTGGGGGCTTTCTGCGCATGTGCACAGAGGTCACACCCGCCGCGGTGACACCGTAAAGTGCGAGTGAGTCATCTCGATCTCAGAGACGATCTCTGCGGCTACCATCTCCGCGGGTAGTCGGTGTGGAGCGGCGGCATCCTCCGGAGCTTTCATCCGTTTCTCACATCTGTCCCGCAGCTGGACCGGTCCGCACCGCCCTGGATCCGGTTCATCCTCCGCCGCCGGGCTCCATGTGTGACCGCGGGATGCAGCCGGACTGCGGGCTGAACGCCGACACCGAGCCGGTAAATCAATCATTTTCTTTATCGAGCTGATCAGGACCTGTAGACGTCATCATCAGGTGAAAGCAGCTGTTTCCAGATGTTTTCATGCTAAAGTTAAAACAGGGCTGTTTATTGGTTCCCCAGCAGCTCATTTTTAAACCAATCACTAATCAGTGAATCTGCTGATCAGCCTTTGGTTTATCGATAAATCCTGTAATGACATCAGAATCAGAATCAGAAAGGGTTTATTGCCAGATGTTGAGCAGGTTTACAACATTAGGAAATTGCTGCGGTGCTTCAGTGCAA